GCGTCGATCCGCTTAAGTGTGTTTTTGTTGGTGAGGCAGCCTACGATGTCGACACAAATCGCAAGTATGGCGATGAAGTCAAAGCAAGAAGCAGAGCTGCCAAAAAGCAGGGTGCTAATCTGCAGATCAAGCAGCAAGTAAAATCGGAACTGCCGATAGCAACACGGCTATCTTACCTGGTTGCTATGACGCGCAAACAAGTTGTCTACGAAGACTACCAGAAGCTTAGAAAGACGGAAGACGACGACGTAAAGAAGTTTGTTCGCACGTTGCTACCTAAAATGGCGAGCACAGAACTTCAAGGATGGGACATCGTCTTTGATAATGCTTCACGCGAGACCAGAAAGATGATATCTCAGGTTGTCGAAGCAGGTGGCTCCAGGGCTATCTTCTTGCCACGATGCTCTGATATGAACGAATCACTTAATCCTGTTGAGTGGTTTTTTTCAACAGTAGAGCTACGGTGTAAGCGGCACAAGACCAATGTGGATGACCCCAATGACTACATCTTCCGCCGATTGGAGCGTGCCATTAGGGATACGCAAGCAATCGATCTCAGCACCATCATCCGCGGTAAGAGCTTGGTTTGCGACTGCAGCATTTGCAGCCTTTAAAAGCCGTCATTACATTCCTTTTCTCCATTCATTCTGTCTATAATCCCTCTTCTGCCTCCATTATTTGTCTCCGTTCTTTATATACTGTATCCATCTCTTCGTCGTTGTCTTTCTTGGTCTTTATACTCAAATTTTTTTCTTCACTATGCTCTATGCTTTCATTTTTCCTCTGATTTGTTCACTATGCCTTCTTCTATTATTTATGTATCTCTTTGCCTGCTTCCCTTTATACTTTCTTTTTTCTTCAAGCCCGTAACCTTTTATGCTAGTACTTCCCCGTGCATTGAATATATGTCTCTATGAATATATACTTTATAAAAGAAAAAACGATTGATTGATTTTGGAAGTGTAGTGAAAAGTAATCAAAAAAATCTACAAACAGAGATATAAAAAGGGAAAAGGGGTAGTATCAGTTTTGAATTTAGAGGTTGTCCTCACGAGCAAGGCAGCAGTCAAAGTATTCGATCGAGTGGTCAATATAGCCAACGTAATCGCGTGGTGTAACTTTACTAATTGCCATCGCCAATCGATCATCTATATCCTTCATCTGGTCTGTGTTGGTATACTCAGACTGGCTGTCCCCTGTATTCTGATGCTGTAGCTGGTGCTGGATGTTAACGCGTCTGAAGCCGAACTTGACCTTTGAGAAAAATTCCTCGATTGGATTTAGAAAAGGAGAATAACGTGGTAACAGGACAAGGCGATATCCACGGTCAGCCACCTTGTTGCGGATATATTCTGCCGTATGGATTGCTGCATTGTCACATATAATATTCCAACCCTTGCCTTGAAGGTTTCTTTTATCGAGCTCGTCCATTACCATGGTCAGAAAAGCATAAAAGTCCTGGGTTTTTGTTCCGCCTCCTTTTCCTCCTTTGTTGATCTTCGTACATATCTTGACAGCGCCAGTGTAGCTAATGGCTGCAAGCATAGAGCGCGATCGGGCATACATCTGTGGAACGATAACATGTGCTACTTCCCCTGCAGGTGCCCATGCATAGTTTCGTCGCATATTTGCCATGAAAGATGCCTCATCAACAAAAACACTGTTGAGCCTATAGTCGACGATGCCGGTTTGGATATTATCATGAACAAATGCGGCACGCCTATCCTTTGTTTCCTCATTTGTGCGACGTTCTGGATAGATGTGCGCTCGTTTGATTGTTATACGGAGCTTGTGTACGAGATGACGGTAAATTGTTGAGACAGCTAATAGCAGCCCAAATTCCTTGAAATATAATTCCTGTAGCTGCTCTAGGGTTGCTGTGTTGATCGTTTCGACGGTCTTTACAAGGAACTTGCTTCCAGCTTCTGTAATCTTTGATGGTCGTGTCTTTTTGTGTTTTATAGGCTCGGCGTTACCATCTCGTGTTTGGAATCGATAATCATGATCTCTGATGGTGCTCGCTGCTAGTCCTAACATCTCGGATGCCTTCTTGTTGGTCGCTCCACACAACTTTAAATAAAGAGCCCGGTCTTTGATATCTGACGAGTGCAACGCATTTTTGCCTCGTGAAATTTTGGGTGCTTTGGCTTGTTTGCGGCTACCTTTGGCAAACTGTAAAGAACTGATATTATCTTCATCAGTATTCATTGGAGTAAATGTCGTATCGATCGAGCGCAATTGATGCTCATCATCATCAATTTCATGGCCGTCATCAGAATCGCTACTGCTGTCCTCATCAGTATCACTGCTAACGCCATCATTCTCCTGTATAAGCCGCGTAGGGTCGCTAGGAAAGCTGACAATTTCGTAACTGCCCAGCTCCTCAGAGCGGACAAAAGTTACTTCTTCCTCCATCTCAATATCCTCGTTTGGAATCGAGGTCGCGCTACCTGTAGCTAGTTAACGAATTGATTAGAGAGATTTTTAGCTACAGTATGTACGTATGTAAAAAAAAAGAATCAGGTATACCAGGAGTTTCAGTGCTACTATTCAACTGCATCTGCGTCATAGCTTTTTGAATCAGCCGAAGTGACCGTCTAGTGCTCTCTACTGGCTGTGGTTGTCGGGAGCGTTTTTTTATTGCTCTCGGGGTGAAAGGGACGTTGGATTTCTTTTGATGTTGGTGTGTTTTCATGATATAGAATGAAGAAGCGAAAAAAGAGGGTGCTCAATGTTTATTGAAGTATCTTTGTATTTAAAAAGTGTCGTTGTAACACATACCATCTCAATGTAAAAGTAAAAACATGTAACTGTAAACAAATAAGCTCTTCGTAAGTTCTTTAGAACAATTAACTTTACTCTATAATGATGTGGTATATACAAGCATTCTCATAGTTGACATCTTTTGCAACATATGCAGGTTTCTTCTTTATTTTTTCGTAGTAGCATTAACCATTATGGGAGACTTTATGGTGTTATGCTCATCAACTATGGCAAAGATATAATTGGATTGACACAAACGTCTCTTTTCATATTTATAGTTGTACCTGGTTTACTAAGGTGCTTTTTGCTAGTTGTCACTAAGCTTAGACGCTTCATTTTCGCGGTTAGGATGCTGATTTCATACTCATCAGGGACCCATTTTTGCTGCAAGAGCTTGACATCATCCGTAAACGAACGTAGATCAGCAAGCGATTCTTTAAGCTCTTTCGGCGAGGGCTCCTGTACTTTTTTTGACGCGCTTTTCCTGGAAGCTGAAGTTTTTTTGACTTTGTCGGTCTTGTTTCGGTTTATTCTTCCCATAGGATGTGCAAACGGTGAAAAAAAGCCCGTTCAATATTTTTAAAAAGCTTTAAGTACTAGAAAAGGGTACCGACAGATACTTGTAATACATAGGCACTCGGATGAACACCAACACATCCGATTCTGGCGTCAAATGGCGTGAACTTATCATCACTTAACTCAGTTGCGAAATACTTGCTTTCCAGTTACGAATGCGAGATGTCGATTGCGAACAATGCTATTTCTCCTGTACGAAATTTGATTTTCTTCAGTGCGAATAATTAGTTAGCACCATAGCGAACTACTGCTTGCCCCATGCGAAAAATAGGCACTTCCATGAACGAACATTCGTACACCCGAGAACGAAAATATAGTTGCTCAGTAACGAACATCTTCTTGCCCACTACGAAAAAAAAATATTCCCACTTGCGAAGTTCGGGTAACCCAGATACGAACAAGCTGTTGCCCAGATACAAAAAATAGCCAGCCTGTAAACGGAACCGATTCCGAAAAACTTTTCGCCCGTTTACGAAAGCTGTTGTCCCACAAACTAAAAGCTTGTCCCATAAACCAAAAACCACCCACCCCCATACGAAAAGTCTGCCACCCATATACCAAAAAATGCTCCTCCTGCATACCAAAAATATCCTTCAAAGTACGAAGAAATAGAAGGCCGGCATTGGTATCGAATGCAAAATCCTGTAGCAATTCTTTGTTGTCATGCCAATGCCGCCCCAGCACACCAACCAATATAGCACTTCCCTTTTAAATAGAAATTTTTGCTTAGTTTCATCTCTATAGCATGTTTTTATTTGTAATAATCGTCTATCAATTTCTAATAATAAAACCGGTTTCGATCAACCATAACACATAATTTCACGATCCAAAAAATAATTATACAACCAATTGCCTTGCTGCTTTGATCAGTATGCATGTAAAGAAGTACATTAAAATATGCGATGCAGAACTCTGTTGCGAATTTGACTGCACCTAGTACCCAATCCATATGTAATGTGATATAGAACCCAACCACTACTGCATACATGATATCAAAAACCCCCATTTCCACGTACATGCATGAGCAAATTATCAAGTGGTGAAAAACAGCTTGATAATAACAATCGAAGCTGTTTCTGCATAATTATCAAGCTGTTCAAAAACAACGTGATAACTACATAGCAAGCTATTATCAAGCTATTATCAAGCTGTTTTTAACCACTTGATAATAGCCTACACACCCAGTGTTAGAGGAGGGATTTGCTCACTACCATTGCGCCTCCTAGCCTGTTTTTTCTCAAACATAATAGTTGAGATTAACCCTAATCGTTGAGAATCTTATAGTGTTTGAGAAATTTTTTTTTAATTAAAAATTAATTTCATCACTTATTATAATCACTTTAAAGTTATATTACCTATAGTTTTTTACCTATTTATTAGTTCACTAAAATCATAACACTATGGGTTACCCCCCACAATACTGTTGGTTAACTACGTTCAGGCACCAAGCTTCTAAAGTGTAGTAACTGGCAGAAGTTAAAGGCTTATTTCAAGTAGCAAACAATATGACGCAAACCTTCATTGTAAATCATATGAACTCTATTCACATCCACACTGACAGAAAGCTGTAGTAGCATGCCTGTCCAATTCTTGCTCCTCTTGTTTTTTTTAATACAATTTGGAAAAAAGGCACAAAGATTTGTTAAGCTATCTTTGCACAGGCTGTACTGTGGGGGGTTGGCATACTAATGTGTTTACCGCAATATAAAAGATGTGACACATTGTTTCTTCTGTATCGCTATCTGTATGTGCATTGGCTATATTATCCCAGCAATAATTTCCTTCCCTATAAAAAAAGCTGTTGGAATAAGGGCGCATCCGTGTACTACACAATGAGTGTTGTAAAAGGCCTGCATCAGGTTGCTGCATCCTTTGTGGAGAAAAGATGATCTCAAATATGAGATTATCGGTCGCTTCCTACAATATGACGCAACTGCATCTGAGCATTGATGTTTCCAATGCTGAGCAACGTGGTCACTGTTGGTAAAAGAAGAGGGCTGGGAAAAAAAGGTATTACGAGTGACTTTACTGTGGTTTAAAATTGCGTGCAAAATAAGCTCCTTTCCCCACTACACAGAACTATTTCTGTACAGGCTTTAGCATGTTTACCAGACATTGGCAAGTAATAATTCCGTTCATTTTGTTGTTCAAATAAAAGCAATTAGAGCACTGTGCATGAACATTGGCTGTCGCGTTTGTGACTTTAATCCTAGCAGCATATTCTATAGCTGTTTTTCAAGTAGATGGGCCAAGAATATATTTATTGCTCCTTCAACTTTGCACATACTTTCTATATTCTCCAAGGAACATCAAATAGACATCCGTTCCATTGTTCCGCACTTTAAATAATTTTCGACTACTGCTCCGGGCTGCCTGTAGCCACGTTGCAAAATCTACGTCGTCTTTGAACAAGGTTCCATATTCAGCGTGAAGGTCTCTGCCCCTATACCTGTACATCGCCCAACAGAAAGGCTGTATTTGATCCCTCATTCCCTCTGGGCACATTGTTCCACGGTCTGGATGCAGTAATGGATCGCCTTGCAGAAGCCAGCAAAAAAAGCAAGTTTCTTTCAGCAGGTTTCTCAAGTTTTTTGCAGGACAGTTGGTCGTGTAATGTGTGGTGCTGAGGCATATAGAATTGCCACAGCGATTACTTAGTAGGTGGAGTATACCTAGTATACCCAGGTATACCCCAGGTATACTCAAAATTTTTATTTGATATTTAGATAGAAAAACAGTCCAGGAACACGATTTATTATAATGAAAAGTCCGACTTCATTAAGAGGTTGTGGAGATATAAGCCATTTACTATTGAGCAAAGGGTAATCCCTACTAAGTATGCCCAGTATACCCCAGGTATACCCCAGGTATACTCAAAGTCTTTATTTGATATTTGGATAGCAAAACAGTCTAGGAACACGATTTATTATAATGAAAAGTCCGACTCAATTAATAGGTTGTGGAGATATAAGCCATTTATTATTGAGCAAAGGCAATCCGTTTCCCTCACGTTTAACTACTAAAAAAAAGTGAATAGGTAGCAGTTAGTGTACATCCATTGAGTGTTGTATATTAAGACTCTGTGTAGATGCCTACTATAGGAGAACGTAATGCCGCCAGAGAGCAACGGAACGCCGAGCGTAGGGCGGCAGTTGAGCAAGAAAACGCCAGGAACGTCGTTTTGAATATGGAGGATCGCCTCAGGGCATTGGAGGCGCGAAACTTGGCGCTGGAGAACCAATTTGGAGCGATGGGGAACGTCGTTGCCAGACAGAACCTGGCCATACAACAGCAGCCTGTGCCCTCTCCTGCTGAACATCTAGCTCTAGCCAAGGTTCCAATGCAACAACCTCCAGTGCATCGTTTGCGGCATGTTTCTGTAAGAAAACTAATGGATATATCTAGGTAAATAGCCGATTAATAGTATCATCGAATTATAGTGCGCAATCCGCCATTTCCATCGTTCTCTGGGGGACGGCGGCTTCCAGTTGGATGCCGATTATCGTTCAGCACGCAATCGCGCTGTTCGTACCCGCATCATGTCGTACATCGATGGTGGTGGACGGTACCAGTTATCACACGCTGAACTGTCTACAAAGATTTACGACTTTTTTGCTAATATGCGTCGTGAGGGTCGTCGGTCGGCTATGCGTGCAGTACAAAGAAAAGTGTCGGCTCGCCGAAATAGTCGTCGCCACAGTGTAAGAAAAAGAAACAACCATCCATTCTTTTTAGTATAATCAGTTCTGACACAGAAAGTAGAAGCACAAGTGCCGACTTCAAGTTTACCGACAGCATCAGGCACAGCTGGATGCAACATATCTGGGAGGGGAGGCATTGCTCCAGTTGGAGTACATGTCTGAAGAAGAGACGGACGTCGAAGGTGATGGTGACAAGCGTTTGGTTGTACTCAAGCCCTTGTAGAGGAGTGAGAGGGTAATTGTTGTGTGCTTGTTTGGTAAATGCGTCGAAGTTGTGTTTGACAAATCGTTTGTAGGCAAATGAGTTCTTATGCACACTCGACGGACTGAGACCGGACGCAGACGTCAATAGATTGATGCAGGTGGATGGTGTTGGTGGTGCACCTTTGTCTGACGATGCAAGAGCGCAATTGGAGGGTTGGGCAGTTGATTTTTAAGAATAAAAAATAAAAAAAAATGGTTGCACAGCTTCGTGTCGTGTGGGTAAGGGGTGGGCAAAAGAAAAGTTACTATTGCATATGCAGCTGTTGTTTTCGGAGTGGGGGGAGTCTATAAAAAATATCACTCGTGGTAAATGTATCTTTTTTCTTTTTTGGCCACTGCTCTTAGACACGTTACTTCTTTGTCATCTCTTATTGCAGCACAGACAACAGAGTCACTCAATGTGCTCGTTAAAGCATTACAAACAGCAACAGTGGAAAAGCTTTTCGTCTAATCTGGTAACCATAACATCTTGCTGTACGATTAGTTTCGATTCAAGTTCGATAAAAGTCTTAACAACCGTTCTCATAAGCTACTGGATAATACGAATTGGTACATGGTGTGTATACAGCTGCTGGTAGCTTTGCTCTTCTTTCGTTCGCACCGCATTGGATCTCGCATTTAAATTCATCTTTTATTTGCAACTTAGTTACCGAATTTCCCTTTGCAATATACAACACTTTAACTCATCAATAATAGCGGAAACTTAGAAGGGACGGATAAGAAAAGTCAACGCTTTGATTATGCTAGCATCTTTTTCGCCAAGGGAAGGACTACTGTTCTAGCATTTGCACTAGTTTGTGCACCCAGTTTCACAACAGCAACTTGTCCATATAAACGATGGACCGGTACAATACAATCCATCGCTTCGCCTCGAAAACGACTACACCAAGTTTCAACGTAGGGATCCACGAATCGTCGGCCGTCATTGTCTCTGTGGATGCTGTACCATCGAACATACGCAAAAATATGCTCTCTCTGCTGCCCACGAATCAACTGCACATGCCGAAAGAAAAATTGGATCTCGCATGGCCAGGCCATTGCTTCTCCACGATCGTCTACGTGGAACAGAACTTGAGCGTGGGCACCACGTCGCGATCTCGCTTCAGCACTGCGGTAAATCTGCCCCATCATCGTTATCGTCTTCATTTTCCAGTACTGGTTACTGATGAAAACTTGCCCATCACCAGCTTGGGTATAGTGAACGAGATGATCGTCATATACAGCACGGTAAAATGCCAACAAGAAACTGTACAGTTGCTCAGGCATAAACGCTATCCGTCCATAATGCAAGGGGTATACATCTGGCGGCAGCGGCTCACTTCCTGTAACGTAGTGGATGGTACCAACATCCGTCGACAACGCCAAAAACGCATGAACATCGAATTGACGCTGGACAACATCAGCTGCGCGTGGGATCGGCTGTACAAGGTCAAGGAACCGATTCAAAAAAGAGAAATGGTGTTGGTGGTGCTGGAAGTGGGCTTCAAACGAACGGACAAAATCGCGAGCACCAGTCTTCTGTAAGAACTTCTTCATAAACGTGATTTCAAACGAGTCTTTCTGATTGGTGTCGATCTCTTTCAGATAACCGTTGTACCGTTCAAACGAGAAGAGCCAGTACGCGTACAACGGCCCAAAATCCTCGATCGTCGCGTTCAAATGCATATGCAGGTGCATGTTCGGTGTGATTTCTTCTGGGCCATACAACCGTTCAACACCAGTGCAAAATTGCTAGAGCAGGTTGTTTGCTTCTGCAATTTCATCCACAGTAATCGATGGCTTGACCAGCAAGCGACACGCATCAACAAACATCAGCCAGTTTTCGAGATATCTTCTGGGAAGGTGGCCGTCGAGCACAAAAGGCGAGTATACAATGCACCATGATTTCCAATCGTCAGCGGTCATGAACGAGAAGCCACTTTCGATTTTGCGGTTCAAGGTAACATAGTCAGGAGGAAGAACAATGCCATTCGCCAGCACCTGCATCTGGTGGAGGTCGGTTCGGTCAATGAGGTCTCTGTCCGTCCAGACCTTTGCCATGCACTTTGCCGTGCCGAGAAACAAGTTATGCATCGGGTCGATGATGGTGCAACGGACAGGATCAAAGTAGCCAAGACGATGCAACTCTGACCATCTCGTCCCATTTGCGCGTTCCAGATCTCGTCGAGCACTCATCGTCTCTGCACCCCGCCACTGCTCAGCACATGCTCGATTGTCCTCAAACGTCCGCAACTCCCAATTTTCGACATCAAACCCAGAGTAGTCAATGTTGGTTGTGCCAGGGAAAACATTGAATTGGCGAACGCATTTGTGGCAGGCACAAAGGCTCGCGTGCGACGTAAAACCGCTGGTTTTCCGTGCAGCAGGGATATCGCAAGCATTAATGAACAAGGCTAAACAGACACAAGTTCCTTGTGGATGCTCGCGCGTACTGATCGATTTTCCACCATACCATTCCAACAATTCATCAACCAGGGGTCGAAGGTAATTGTTTATGTCGGTTGTGCTCGCTTCTCGTGGGCCAGGCATTACACCAACAAGAATGACATTCTCTGTCTTGTAGCGTTCGGATCGTGGAAGATTATTGATGGTCAAGTAAATGGCACCGCATGAATAAGTCGAGTTTAGAAATGGCCCAAACCAGTCAATGTTGAGTGTCAACAGCAGTGAACGGCGCTGCTCGACGAACGGGCTGCCGTCACGACCCCGGAACTCTCGCCACATATCACCATCGTATATGTCAAAGAAGGTGTCGGCAACGCGTCTTCGATTTCGCCATTCCTCGCACTTTGCTTCAAACCCTGGCCGCTGAAAAAGTCTATCAACACTCGCAGACAAGGGCTGATATGCAAACTCATTAATGGGAGTCCAAGGATTGCCTGTGGCTTTAAACAATTCATTGCCGCATAAGCTGTTGTATCGGATGTCGTCGTTCGTGCATGTTCTTGGGCACTGTGGATCAGTCGAACGATACAAGCTGTGACAGCGAGGACAACACACATATTTGTGCAAGTGGTCAGTCAATGCAGAGAAGCCAGTAATGCGACGAAGTGTAGAAAGCGAGGTAGGGATCGAGAAGTTTGGCTGCAGATCACTAAGAAGTAAGACACAAAAGTCAATGATGGTGGAGGAGAGATGCTCGGAGACAAAGTGTAGCTGGAATAGCACGAGGAAGAGAACGACGAGGGCAAAGGGGTGCGGGTAGGTGTGAACCTCGGTAACGGTAGGAGGAGGAGGATGAAGGTGAGTGTCTATTTTTCAAATAATGAGATATATAGTATGGTTAAAGTCTGTTATTTGCTTTAATAAATTTTTTTTTACAAACCAACCTGGTTCATTATTGGCAGTTCTGTCAAAGTTGCCTCCATCATAACCAAACTCAATGTCTTCAGCATTTACAACAAGATCGTCGGCGGACAACTCGCCATTGTCAGCCTCATTGTCTTCAGCAGCAAAAACATTATCCTCGATGGAAAAAGGAACATGACGACTAGCTGTAGCGCCTACAAGCCCAACAATGATAAATAACTTATTCACATCTAGTATCATTGTAACAGCTCATCATACCAGGAGAGGAAGGCTCAGCTACTACATCCGTATCCATATCCATATCGTCGCCCGAAAGCAACGGCGATGGTGAGGATGGATGTCCTTGTCCGAAGCTAGCCTTGATAGAAGCTACGATAGCATTCACTACATATGCAACGCATAATATTACTAACTAATCCTCGAAGAACGTGCCTGAAAGAAGTACCATTGTGTGAAAATCCATCTGTAGATTCATTAAGAATACGCTGCTGGTGATAGTTTCGGATTCTATAAGGCACCATTTGATAGCCGAAGCTTGTCGACGCACATGTAGGACAAAAGCACGGAAATAAATGCCCTTCGCCATTGTCCTTCATTGTGAAAAAAAAGTGTAGATTAAGAACAAGATCAGGGATTCCAATAATTGTACTGAGTTTCTCTTATTTTTTTAATACTACATTGTAAGCACATTATGCACTTCCCCTTTGGTCCTATTTTCTTATCATGCGTTACCCTCCTCAGTGCAACGCAAAATATTTTATTACAGGGCAGGAACATGACCCTGTGAACGCTAAATTGTTGGTCGGGGGAAGGGTGCATGCTTGCATTTTATACAGTTCAACGTATTGTTGTTTTGCTACACTAATGGCTATTGCATAAGAAGAAAAGTCCAGTAGGGGGTATAAGGAATGCATCAAAAAAGAATAAATGTATGAAAATGAAGTTGTTCATCACAGATATTGTGCATGAGCCCCTTTTTCGCTTGTACATAAACAGCGTAAATGACTACTGAATTTGGTTGCTGCATTTGCTACAGGCTGCATATTCTTTTTTCTGGCGCACAACCTGGTGATAGGTAGATATCACCCTGTTTTCAAACACGGTGATATTTACTTTTTCGCGCAGTGTCAGTTAGTTCCAGTCATTGGCTTCTCTTGGACTTGATCCTGTTCGCTTTACGATCGATCGTGATTTCGCCGAAGACAACGCCATCATATCCATTTGGGCGCAATCAGCGATTCAACATTGCCTATGGCATGTTAAGCGCGCATGGAATAAAAATGTTCAATCTAAGGTTGTTGGCATGAGAGGTCGTACAATTGTGCAAGCCAGAGAATATATCCGTGGTCGTTTGGATGAAATCATGTGTGAAAAAGACAAGGAGAACTTTACATCGATTTTCCAGTCATTCCTTGGTGAAATGGAGAAAACGCAGCCATCCTTCCATGTGTATTTCGTACGCGAATGGGTTGACAGTCTAGGTGGCAGTGGATATCAGCGTTGGGCGGCGTGCTTTCAACTAGAAGTATACACCAATATGCAAACGAATAACTACGTCGAAACCTGGCATAATCAGTTGAATACAGAATATTTGAAACGCAAACGCTTGCATCGACTTGATGTTTTGCTTGAAATTCTTTCTTCTGATGTGGCATTTGATATCTTTAAAGAGGTAAAACACTGTAGGAAAATTCTTGTGAATTTTAAATTCTTGTAAACACTAAGTAAAGTAACAAGAATTCTTGTGGATTCTTGTGAATTTAAAGTAGCGATAAAGCGGTCACGCGTTCACAAGAAAATCAAAGCGGTCACACGTTCACAAGAAAATCACAAAACGTTTTGTGGAATACCAAAGCGGTCACACGTTCACAAGAAAACCACAAAACGTTTTGTGGAATACCAAAGCGGTCACACGTTCACATTATATAGATTTTAAAAAATAGCTTTATTCAATTACATGATACTAGCTAAGGTTTATTGATTGATGGAATACTGGTCGAGCGTATACAGATGAAAACCACCCCTTTCTCTCTCTATATATATCACATACACTCTCGCTATATATATACGTGTATGTGTGTGTGTTTATACAATAATCAACTTTCTGATACTTTAACTTACCTTTTAATTATGTTTATTTTTGTGGGGGGAGCAGCTCCGAGTCGCTTTGTTGTACGTCGTCGTTTGGTAGACTGCGTGGAGGAAGGAGTAGGGGCAGGGGCAGGAAGAAAAGCAGAAGCGGAGACAGGAAGAGAAGCAGGAAGAGAAGCAGAAGAGACAGGAAGAGCAGAAGCGGAAGCAGGAAGAGAAGCAGAAGAGACAGGAAGAGCAGAAGAGACAGGAGGAGAAGCAGGAAGAGAAGCAGAAGAGACAGGAAGAGCAGAAGTGGAAGCAGGAAGAGAAGCAGAAGAGACAGGAAGAGCAGAAGCGGAAGCAGGAAGAGAAGCAGAAGTGGAAGCAGGAGGAGAAGCAGAAGAGACAGGAAGAGAAGCAGAAGAGACAGGAAGAGCAGAAGCGGAAACAGGAAGAGAGGCAGAAGAGACAGGAAGAGCAGAAGCGGAAACAGGAAGAGAAGCAGAAGAGACAGGAAGAGCAGCAGGAAGAGAAGCAGGAAGAGAAGCAGAAGAGACAGGAAGAGCAGCAGGAAGAGAAGCAGAAGCCGGTTCTTGTTGTCTACCTGAAAGTTAATATATATTCAATTGTGGTTGCTCTAGTGTAGTAGTTATCATACCTCAACTTGCTGGATCTGCCGTAGTTATTCCAGCATTCTTGGACGATGTGGCGAGCTGCCCACTGGTCCTGGCAGACAGCAAAATCAATTCCCTGCTTCTTTGCCAGGTTCGTGAAAAGGCTGATAGCCCAGTTGCTATCCTTGCTTTGCAGCTTAGCAAAGTAGCAGGTCGCGCTGTTGTCAGCACGATCCCGCAATCTCTTCTCCAGAACGACCACAACACGCTCCCGGATGTGCTTGATGTCCGTCTTGGCTTTGATCAAAGCACCACCTTCAAACTGGTGGTAGCCTTGAAGGAGAAGGCGCTCGACATCATCCTTGTTAGCTTTCTTCACCATCTTCCCCTTGGTATTTAGAGCCACTGGGTGGGGAATGAGGGCAACCGTCTCAGCAAGTTCTGCTTCATCGACAACTGGCACCTCGACTAGGGATTGCGCCGTTAGCAGTTGGTCGAGCTTCTCCAGAATGATTGCTTGATTCGTCTCTACATTGGTAAGACGATGCTCCATACGAATGATGACTTGGAGGAAATTGAGGTTAGCGTTGGAAGGTGTTTGGTTAGTGTTCATTTTTTTAAAAAAATGTTTTTGGGAAGAAGAGAAGAAAGAAAAAAAAAATTTGCGAAACTTTCGCGGTAATTTAAAAGTATTTGTCACCTTAATTAACTAAGTGGCTATAACATATCGTTCAATTGAGACTTACCTATCATTTCATACTCATCGTCCACTATCCACCATGCCCATATATTGTTGCGATAACTGCGATGAGACCTTTAGGTCTGCAATAAAGTACAAAAACCACGTCAAAGAACACAAGCGGGAACAGTGCCGTAGCAGCAGCAGTTCGCCTCCACCAGTTACTGCGTTGGTGTTAGCACCCGACCTAACGAATGCCGATCCCGGTACCTTGATGGGAAACGCTAATCTCGAGGTCCCTCCCGAGATCATTGCGGCTGATCGCGAAAGTGACAGCGTAGACCACGAGACCAGTGACAACGAAAGCTGTGGCGAAAATAACGACGAAGGTAGCGACGTCGAAGCTATGCTTCCACTTGAGGACGCGCCAACTCGCATTAATGAAGGGGATGTCGAAGAAATCGATGTTTCAAATATCGAGCAGCAAGCCGAAGATAACAGATGGGATCTCGAACTATTGGCGATTGTTCTTAACTACAATCTTCCGAGGGATTGTCATGACAATCTGATTAGCTTTTGCAATCGCTTTGCGAAGCACTCTATCGACAGCTTCAGTAAGTAAATGAGTAGTGATCAATGTATATACATGTTAAACATTTTTCGTAGTGGAAAATCGCAGCTTTAAAGACTTGTGTAGCCCATACTTGGCCAGCAAAAGGGCTGGATATATTTGCCCTATCAAGCCGAGGAATCTGGATATGTGCGCGGACGGATGTGTTCTTATCACTGGCAGTCAAGACAAGTGCCCAAAGTGCGAGAAGCCTCGTTATTTGGAAAACGGGAAGCCTGCACAGGTCATGAGATATATCCCTATCTCACACCTTCTTGCAAGTTTGTTTGCCACCGCTACGAGTCGCGATACTTTAAGATTTGGCAACAAGAGTGTAGGAGAAGAAGGCGTCACGACTGATATTGTTGATGGGCGTGCCTTCGAAATCTGCCGCCATTTTTTCGATGGAGAGTATGACATTACGCTTGGCTTGTTTGTGGACGGTTTCGTGCCATTCCGTCGAGGCCGTAATAATACAATATCAATGACGATTGTCCACCTTGTAGTCTTCACGCTTCCTCAATCCGAAAGGTATTCTAGCAACGTATAAAGGTTTGATTTGGCACTGATATAAACCGGATACTATATAGATACAAACTGAAGAATATGCTCCAAGTCGCCATTATCCCTGGACCATACAAGCCCAAAGACATTCATAGCTTTTTAAAGCCTTTGATGGATGATCTTCAGGTTTTGGGAACAATTGGAATGCGAGTGCGTTGTCCTGGCATTCCTGCGCCGATACCAGTAAAAGCGCATCTCATGCTTGCATCTGGAGACATACCTGCTGTCACGGATCTTGCATGTCACGCAGGACACACTTCGTACTACGGCTGCAGAGTATGTGTTATCCTTGCTACAAGTTGCGTCAGTCCCAGTGGCAATGGCCGAGCAAGATATTTCGTTGGTGGAGCTCAGCTGGACCAAAGCAGAAGCAACCGCGAGTATCTTAACGGAGATACGGTAAATATCTGAACATATTGACTATGATATAGAGGAATACATGCGTTACTTAACAAAAAAAATATACTATCATAGCGACGCGGTTTGTATGGGACACCATTAGCAGCCTTACCGACATTCCATGGTGCATCATTTTTTGGACTTGATGAGATGCATTTAATTGGCCAGAACATCGCACACCAAGTGTACAGATGGATCACGGAAACCTATGCCAATGCACAATTACCATTTGCCCTCAGTGATGCCGCTATCAGACAGATGGGTATAGCTATGTCGGAATCTGTGTCGAGTCTTCCTATAGGATTAGATGGTGCATTATCAGGTAACAGACATACGAATGTGTGCGTGTTTCTCTTTTGCATAACATATCGATATATATACTCCTTTAAGATATCTTTACCCGTCCTGCAAGTGCACGTGCGGTTGACTGGATTGATTTCCTGTCACTCGCTCTGCCATCGATAGTGTTTGAGCAGTTGAACGCTGCTGGATGCCAGCACATCGAGCAACTTAATAATCTGGTTATTGCGTGTGCCTTGGCTCTTTCTTGGGATATAACCGACGAGCAGCTTATTGACATGGATAAGTAAGTTACAGTCATTTGATTAACTACTTAACTTAACCAACATTTCTTTTTAGCCGCATCAATTCTTGGCATATGTTCCTCTCTGGTCCCCATATGCCCAATAACATGTACACCATCTGCCACCACCTTCTGCGACATGCGCCAGATATCATTCGCATGCTCGGACCTCTCAGATCGATTAGTGCACGTCCCATGGAAAGAGCCGTTGGTAAGTGATGTTTACATGTAACTGTCTACTTCATTTTTAATGGAAACTTGCAGGTGAAGCCAAAAGACGTATACGATCAAGGAAGCTTCCAGGAGTTAATGCCCAGAATGCAAATGTCAAGACTGCCATTATCAGGCTCTTGGGCAGAGTCCTTGATTTTGAGCACTCGACCACTAGCGACGACAATAAGGCGAATGACGTCTTTTATGTTGGTTGCGATGAAAACGGGGTGAATGACTGCGATGATGAGGATGCGCCAGAATTGAGAGGGCCTCGACTGAAAAGGGACGCCAGGTTGACAGACTATAGTCATCTGAGACTTAAGGCTCACCTTAAACAGTATTACAAGAGACTGCGAGCTGGCGCGGAGCGGAATGAGGGAGATAGGATGATGATTGATGGCGAAGATGATGTGATGGGACTCGACGAAGTTGGAAATGCTCTTGAAGAAAGCATAGTTGTCGCACCAAACCTTTTTGTAGACGGCACTGTCTATGAGAGTCTAGGTGCTGGAAATTTGTGCAGTAGGATGGCACACTTTATCTGGCTCGAACTTCCAATGGACAAACACTACCGTTTCGCAAACAGGGAGCAAGAGACCATTTGGGGTGATTTCTTCGGCGACCTTCATCTTTCATTCGCACACACATATCGAGGTTAGGAATTACACTAAAAGGATACTAATCACTTTTGGAGTGTTATAGGGTAGGCGTTTTTTTAACGAAGATTGTGGTGTTTCAGGAATAACCCGCATTCTTTGCTTGGTGGAACTGAAGCGCGACGTGAAGCTTTCTCAATGGGGTTACCCCACAGGCTCATCACGATCAAATACAAAATGGTATGTCACAGAAGCCCAAAACATTCGAAGTTTTGCAGGTACGATCAAATCATCCATTTCAGAAAACGGTCTACATTATGTATATCCTGGATTAGTCTCTGGCTATGTGAACCTCGGAGACATTAGAAAACTCTGAAATCCACAATTGACTACACTTCTACTGCATCTATCCATTCGCCCACAAAAGCATAACGAAGGTTTGCTCAATTCCCGTTATTCACATGTGTTACTCTCTTTATTATTACCTTTAACTACACCCCTTTCCTTTTCAACTTTCACGCCTTCCCACCACAAACGTATTATCTGACTCGTGCCTCTTATATAGTTTAAAAATTTCATTATCAAAGACCTAGCTCGTCGAACAGTTCATCTGTGGTCTGGAGTTTTCGTATTGTTTCCTCAGCAGAGATGCTATGTTTTTCGATATCGTTCGTACCAGTCGAAGGTATTGTTTCTGGCGCTGAGGAATCGTCGCCGGGAGAGTTTGCGCCATACAAATATGGGAAGGAGGGTGAGTATACATGAGTGGAGCCAGATCCATTGCTGCAGGTATTTGATGGCGGTTCTCTATGTATACAGTTACAAAACTTATTTACTACAGTGGCAACGAATGACAGCGTGGGATCGCTATTTACTTACCTTTGGTCGCATATAAAACGCGAAAGATCCAAATCAGAATCATAATCACCTCTCTCATATTCTTTGTTTATAGCGTCCAAAACGTCATTGCAGTGTTCTGCCAAGTTTTGGCGCGGAACGCCACGCGTTGCTTCGAGCAAAGCTTTTATTCTATTTGAATCGTGAAAGTTAAATAAATAAGGGACTATGATAACGTTCTTCTTTGCACATACAATAAGCGCTCCCTGTTGTAATGTTGACGCAAAATCCTATTCACGTCCAAAACTTGTTCACGGCAAACGCAAGATCGGCTATTCGTTTCCTCAGTAGTTTTGTGCAAAGGGAACATGGCAGCAGTCAAATGAATAATAAATGTACCCAGAGCATTTCAACACAACCACTGGTTATTTAACTTAAGCTCACATCAAGATAGTACTGTTTAATCACAAAAACATCACAAGAATCCACAAGAATCCACAAGAACCACCAAAAAAAATTGGCGACCCAGAGCAGGCAGTGACAGACGTCACAAATTTACAAGAAATCCACAAGAATCCACAAGAATGAGGCCGGCGGGGTCCAAATTCACAAGAAATCCACAAGAATCCACAAAAACCACAAAAAAATTTGGCGACCCAGAACAGCGTCACAAATTTACAAGAAATCCACAAGAAATCCACAAGAACCACAAGAATGAGGCCAGCGGGGGTCCAAATTCACAAGAAATTCACAAGAACCACAAGAATTTTCCTACAGTGAAATGGCTACTTGCGAATGTTGGCAAAATAGGTCCTTATGAACACGCTATGCATAAAGAAGAA